TCTGTTGACCCCCCCAGCCCCCCANGATAAGTGCACAGGGACCTGAACATTTATTACAGCTATATTTTGACCTAAACTTAGGTCCAAATATAGCTGTAATACTTTCCCAGGTCCTTGTGGATAAGTGTAGGTATTGAATATGCATACTAAAGTTATGGTAAATATTACATTCTGAAAATTGGTTTTACATCAAATGGTATTGTCAGTACGGTTAAGTTTTTTTTTACCGATCAACAATAGATAAATATTTTATATATTAACGCATACCATTATATATACCCGCGGCACATTGTTGTAGGTCTATGTCTGTTCGAGTAATGTCCCTTCGACCTGTGGTATATGTTTCTTATAAACCATATACGAGCTCTTGTATAAATATTGCATTCAAGATTCAAGATTCAAGAAGCTTTATTTAACGTCGCATATACATGTAACATAATAACATTAGCACTGTAGTGCTATTCTTGCGACAAAACAATTATAAAATTTAACAAGGATCACAGTACTTATGAATAAATATAAAAACAGAACAACAATTCAAATTAGATATGCTAAAATTATACAGTAAAGCATATGATATCACACTTGAATATCACACAAGTGTTACAAAAGACAAGTTAAGACACAATACTAGTGTAATGTACATATATGCTAATGTAGCAAAGAGTAAAAATTTACAGGATATACACAGTGCGAATTAAAAAAAGACAATGAAGTCATAAATAGAAACAGAGCTGTAATTATGATATTGTAAAAAAGTAATGATCTTTTAAATAATGGAGCTCAAATCTAAAATAAATATCAATTATATAATAAGTATATTACTTAAGTATGTTAAATTAAATAACACAAGCAGCAGTGAAATTAAATAGTTGTAGTATAAAACACATATTGTTTTATTTAAACACAGGGTTGACATTGCTCTTGATTAAGTGTTTAGTTATCTTTTAATACACGTCGGCCTAAAAAAAACCAATTGTATAAGGTGATATATGTATGTAGTATAATGCAATATGATATTTAAATCTGTAGATTTAATCACCATTGTATATAGTATTCCTATGCTAACGAACAGACGAGATAAATCTTCGGTTTCTCTTTGAAACATAGGCCCACATAACGAGCCTTGGGGACACCAGCTTACAATTCGGAACCTACATGAAACACTGTGTATTCAGAAACATCAATATTCAACAGATGATTTTCAATTTAAAAAAAAAACAAATGTCAAACTTTGAAAACTTTTGGAAGAATTAAAGAATTATCACACGTCTCTCTTTCTTCCATTTTCCATTTTTTTGGGGGTTTATCACATAATGTTATGCATGGCCATAGTTATAACACTATCGAACAGATATGTTATATATTTAATAACACCATTACATACATTTTGATACGTCACGTAACTAAAAATGACGTCTAAAGTTATGCTTTTATGATTTTTAATATCAAAATGCAAACTGGCGGTGTTTTTATACAAAATAAGTGAAAAATATTTTATTGAAATAGTTACATACCTGACTGCAGCTGTTATTAGAAGTGTTCCATCCGTCACAGAGGGTATCAACCCAAAGATGTAACACATATCCTCCTTTCGACAGCAGGTTATTCAGTTCCCTACTGTTCGACTTTACTTTCAGCTACTTTCCTTACGTCGCATCCGCTACAATCGCGATGTCCTCTGTCTTTATTCTTGCTCCCTTTAGATTAGTTTCCACGATTTATAAGGTCCAACATTCTCCTGCAGGATTGTACCGGAACTCCACTACAGGCCTATTCTACTGGAAAACTCGTTGCCTGCCACCATTTTCTTCCACGTAATGTTGTTATTTCATCATATTTTCCCTTCTTCTAACACCTTATCAACCAGAGATAGTCAATCTCACTATTATCGGCTTCTTCATACGAGTTTACAAATAACACTTATAAGGACATAATGTCTAATACCCAGGGAAACCTCTACGTCCTCCAAAGATCCACTCTCATTTCTTGGTCATTCGCCTTTCCAAGAATACTGTCAGTTTTAATTATTTTATTATCTTTTCGTCCTTTAGAGAATGGAATGCATGTTAACACTTTCCTGTACTTCTGGTTCCTTGCTCTCTTTCTTGAAGGTTTGCGCCAGTTGGCTTAGCACCTGGGGTGTCTCTAGGAAGACAACGTATGCTTCAGGCTTTCTGGTCATCCGCCAACCCCCACCTGTATCAATTTGTTGTTATTGGTTAAACTACAGCTGTCGGATGTATACCTCCAGATCTCTGACCATGTCATCTTTTTTGCCGAGTTCTCCAGTCCACGTACCTTATATCCTGGGTTTTCTGTCGGGTTTCCTCTGGCACAAATTCCATCCTCTCTGCTTCATGAGCCGCTACCCATCTCTTCGTTTTCGCTGTGCATTGCTCCTGCCGTTAAATCACACAGTCACAACCATATCTTGATGTCTCGGTCGAATTAAATAAACAATAAATATAATAATTCGAGGTTCTTATAAAACCTAGTTCGTAGGTCGTCTCAAAGCGGTCCACAAATTATTATCCGTGGTTATAGGGGCCTGTGTAAACAGCCAACATCTTTCTCAACTCCCTGGGGAGCATACAGCCGGTGCTGCCATTTCGGCGCTCACAGCTAGCATTCAACAATTCTATCACTGCCCAATCACGAACTCATTTACAGTTGAATAGACTGGAACAATCGGAGTAAAGTATCTTGCTCAACGATACAACACAGTACCGTACAGTGACTCGAACCCGCAACCCTTCGGTCACGAGCCTGGCTTCCTACCGCTAGACTACCCTGCTTCCTCTGTTACTACCTTCCTTGATCGTCTCTGGACTCTTTTAAAGTCAGGATTGGTCCCGCAAATGCGATCTTTAATTCTTCAACCTTTGTTATTGACAGTAGATCATATAAAAAAAAACTGTCGAAACTAATTCCATAATAATGTTGTGACACATTTTTTGAGATTTATTTTGATTGTTCGACAATGACTGTATTACAATTACTTGCCTTCATGAACTCAGGTAGTCAGTGGGAGGAACTATGCTATTTACTTCATAGCAAGTGTTGACAGTTCTGGTACCCTAATTAATGGTCCTGAATAAATTGAGAGAAAAACTGCGTATGATACACTGTTATATGTATCCGTTTTAGCTACAGTACACACGATCACCTGCGGTAAGTCACGGTAGCAGAGTTCTGCATTCATAACATACGATGCAGATAGACTAGGACTACGTTTGCAGTAACAGATTAAAAAATAAACAGAAATGTTGTACATTTGTTTGCACCTGTATCGGATACATCAAAGGTACCCATCTGTATATACCTCGATACCCAATATATGTGATGACATCAAAACTCGACAAGGTGAAATATTGTGAATCTTTTTCTCATTTCTATATGTATCAAAATTACCAGTGGATTAAACAAGCTTGTGGAGCAAATAAACATGAGTTTGTGACATGTTGTGTGTACCTTAACATTCTACAGAAAAGAAAACAAAATGTGACAGAGATTTTACCTACAATGTTAAGCTGTGAGAAATATATCCTGGTATGATGCCTGCTAGAGGGTCTCGGTATAAGTTGGACATTGAACTACGATCTCCTCTAGAGCTAGGTACAAAACATCTGATAATTTATATGTAGAAATGCATTAACTGTCAATTCATGAAAAAACGTTTTCAGCTTGTAGTTTTTTATTTATATTATCCCAAAGGGAGATCTTTAAGTTCTGGGAATTAAGTACACCTACTTTGATTTACACAGGTACATGTTTGCATAATGTGAATAAATAACCTCTACCTTTTACCTTTATATGTACCATAGCCCACCCAAACACGTTCGACAGTCGTCATATGATGGTTATTGAGAGGTAAATACTCCAACGAGACAACGACCCATCCTTATGCTGAAGAGTTAAATGCTTTGTTGTTGGTTACGACAATCTTGACTTTCGCCACAATAACCTTTTTTTTTCTTTAAAGCGAATACTTTGACGAACTCTTATTGAAACTAATGCACTATCCCCCTACCGTGAGGGTATGGCAGTGAAATATCAACCCGAGATGGGAGATTATTTTCTGTTTAATCCCAGGATTGCTTAATGCAATATCCCTCTACCGTGAGGGTATGGCAGTGAAATTTCAACCCAAGATGGGAGATCATTTTCTGTTTAATCCAAGGATTGCTTAATGCAATATCCCCCTACCGTGAGGGTATGGCCGTGAAATATCAACCCGAGATGGGAGATTATTTTCTGTTAATCCCAGGATTGCTCCAAGCCCCTTGGGTGAGACATTAAAGAACATCACCCTGAGAGTTGAAATGTCTCGTAATCTCAACGAAGGGGATGATCCTTTTTCTCTCATCCTCTCCATAGTATAATTGAAAATTTCGTTATCAGCATTTGTGACGTCCGCGTATTGTAATTATCCACGAGTCATCATTGATTCCATTGGGGATGGGAGAGACGTATTGAACGTGTAAAACGGGAGGTAATTCAGTGAACGATGTGAGAATATTAAATTTGTTAGTTCAGGGTGACCAATGACCTGGATGTATGGATGCCCAAGTTATTTCTGTAAGATGAATAAGCTTTAACCTTTAATGGAACCGTATCAAATTACAAGAAGTATGGCAGACGAGTTTTCAGTGGCATGCTCTGTGATTTAACTGAGGTTTGGGATATATTTTCTTCTCGTGTCCATAATCTGATGTTCCATTGAGATGTTTTGTAATTGCTGTGAGAAGGTCCCATCACTACACCGAAATGTCAGACTCTTAAAGTGGTCATATCGTATCCACGTTCGATAAGGAGACATTTTGTTTAAAGTTCAGATTGTCGTTTTCATGGTCAAAAGGGTCCTTTTTTAAAAACGTTATAAACGGCAAATATAAAAAATAACGGAAGAAAACTGGGATCAACAAAACAGCAAGCAAATAGATGAAAATATCAAGAATGAAAAGGATGGAACCACAAGTATAATAGAAGAAACGTTACTAAATTGTATATTTATTTAAATGTTCACGCACGATCAACACAAAGTCCGGAATACTCTATTTATCCCAATAATGTCAGACCATGATATCTATCAACTGTATACAGGGGATGCCAGTGCTATATACTGTTATCTATACAACACGACTTGTTTATAGCTGAACTGCTGATTGAACACACGGTATTACCCACAGATAGGCTTACGTATGTGCATGTATTCCTCGGTCGATTTCTGTCTGACAGGAAACATTTGAATAACACTGTATCTGGTGTTATCCCCTTTTCAAGGAAGCGATAAAAAACACTATTATGTATATTTGTATGGGACAAACTGTTAAAAAGGCTACGGCCATGGGTACCACGTTGTCCTTTTGTCACGGACAGAAATAATTGTCCATACTGTACACATTGAATTGCTTGCTGCATTTTCAGTATCACGTGTCTTTTGTGTCCTTCGTAATGAGGGCAAATTTGTCATCATAGCGAATATTGACACTTAGCAGAAAATATCCAGAAATAACACTTGAAAGCTGAAGTTAAAACGTATAAGGGCGAAAATTTTCCCGGGCGAAAGTTTTCCGGTAAACAGTATGACTTTTATTTATAGTTGTAACAATATCCGTTTGCGAAACATCCGGTTTTTTAGCAGTAGCATAATCCACAAAATAAATCCTTAATTTTATTCATGTGGGAAAAATGCTACCCAATCAAACTAGTTCACATTCCATTGCTCTCAAGCGAACTGTAAGAGCCTACCGTCGACTGCGTTGTTGTGCTACGATTTGAACACCGGCTCGAATACATGGTGCGCGTGATCTTTGGTGCAGACTGCGCACGCATCGTACTAAGTGACGTAGGTCTGGTCAGTCTATCCACTATTTTCTGTAATTGTTGAGAATTCGCTGTCCGCCATGTCCCTGGGTAGTGTTTGGACAGTTCTGGGTATCGATATTTCATATACGGCCGTTCACGGAACTCCTGTAGATTCTGTTTGCTCAAAGATTCATATGACTTCCTCTCACGTGACCAGAGGACAGATCTCCGCGCAGACGCAGCAGTAGGTCGGCACACGGAAGTATCGATGGCTCCCAAGTTAACTTCGGAAAGTCGTGGACCAAACACACTTCTTCGAATCGCATCCTTGTCAATTTCAGTCTGAAACAAAAGAAAAGTGAAGTTTAATTTTAATCAAATACGCAAATCTATAGCATCTTAATGATTTTCAAATGAACATCAAGTATGTCTTTTAATCTTTGTTTTAAATTAAATATGATAAAATATGCGTTCAAAAGGATGAGTCATCGAGCATGATCATAGAAGGCATATTTATAAGTGACACATTGCTATGCTTTGAGTATCTATAATGGGTAGGTATCTTCTTTTCATAACACTGTCTTCCCGACATTGCCATTAACATAGGACGAGCAATTTAGATAGCCAACCCACACTCAACAATCTAAATGATAAATGTATGGCTGTACCGACTGACAAATCATCTAATAATTTGATTCTTTGTATACACGTTATGACCATACTTACATGAAAAACTTATTTGGCTAGTATTATAACCAAGGAGACCCTACCACCTGTTAAATGGTCCAGTTTTTCAAAGGACGTTATACAAGCCAATCATGTTTCTGTATTAGTGTTTCCGCATGCTGCCAAACGATAAAGATACGAACCTGCTAGTTTGTATTGGATTTCTAAGCTTCTCAAGAATCTTTATTAACAACGTGTTATCGCTTGCTCTATTAGCTGCTCAATCAAGCCAATATTCAAACCTCCTGCTACCCTTTTTAGTACCAATATGGCTACAGTCGTGTTGTGATACTGTATACTCGAGAAGTTAAATAAGTAGAACGTGGATTTCAATCGAACCCTGAACATTTTCTCCTCAAAAATGTTTCATTAACAGAACATTTGCTTTTGCCAATATATACACTACATTATTGCGTAGCACTTGTTATCACGTTATCACAGCTTTCTTTTCTATGAAAGACGAACGACGATAAATGTCTGATAAAACACAATTTGTAAAAAACAAGACATATGCCGGGATGAAATATATAATTGAGTTCCTGGTTGACAATAGGTTGTTGTTGAGTTGGGTGGTAATATCTTCCAAAAGACTTTTCATGTGGTCTAAATTGTACCTCGCTCATGGTCGACGTTTCGTATCCAGCTGAGTTTGTTTTACAGTTTACCAGAACAAGTGACAAAATGAATGATACAAGCAAAGCAAGAGTTTAGACTGTCCTTCTGAAAATCACTTCAAGAAAATGCAAAGTTGCTCCCTCTTTTGTTGAATTGGCTTAGCTGTAGATAAGCATTCAGCACGGCGTGGTATGAAGGACGTCTTATCCGGGAGAGGCACTATATCTAAGATTTATTCCAGTTACATGATAAAAAAGACAAGAATTAATGAGATAAGTAAGGTCAAAGAGTCTATGGGCACATTTAAAATGGAAAATCTTGTCTAAATATTTCCGTCTACATTCCAGACCTGGCAAATAAAATGCTTACATACACTAGTATATGGTAAGTCACAAAAAATCATTTTCACTTCGCAACATAAACTCTTTGGACCATTTCCAAATGTGTATTAAAATTATGACACAAGCTTGAGAGCTGTGGTGATACTCATTCGCTGGCATTAGGCTCATGTATCTTATGTCAATTTAACGAATATAACAATATGTAATGTGTTTTAAAACTCTACGTAGCTACACTGAATCAGTAACCATGTGATTTATAGCCAATTTAATACAGACTCCATATTAACTTAACTGCTTCCCCAATTACAACTTTCGACAATGCTTGTAGTCTTCATTTGCCTAAATATCTCACGATATGTGCGGTAATGTGTGTTAGTGATATGCCTTCCCTTTTGTATTTTATGTACTTGATATTACGTGTATCTGATGTGTTTATATGTTTTCTGAATTCCTATACTGTATTTTGCTCCATTATTTACAGTCGGTTTTAAAGGCTGGTAAAATATGTGCTACTTTATTTATTCACGTACCGACTCAAAATTAAATTAACTTTGCTTGAGCAGTAAGACTGTGAAACAGTCGACAAAATAATCAAGACTGATTGTCTAACAATATCTTATAATCATACCGTACGAATACCCTATAATGCTATCAAAATAAAAACATTTTATAATAGATATGACAAAACAACCATATGTTGCATGGACTAATTTGTTATATACATCAGTACCATAGAGTACATGTTGTTATAACACTAATGCATTCTAGCTTAATTCTAAGTTCAGATTTGACATAGATTTACATGTTGACTGTCGACGATGAAATATGAGACGCTTACCCTTCCGGAACATCTGAGTCTTCACTTTGTTCATTGTTTGCCTTTGTTTTTATGGTTTGGAGTTCGAATGGTGGTAATGTTAACATTAAAATATTCTCTTCATTATCCGACTTTCATAAAGAAAATTTAGTCAGTGAAATAATCGTAAAGTAAATAAAAGTGTTGGAAATGCTTTCAGTTGGCACTCGTAGAGAATATGAACGCCATTGAAATTACAGAAAAAAAATGATATCACATTGATATTACAGGTTGGAGGCAATCACTCTTTTGACAAGGATTATAACACTGCTGTTAATCCCAGGATTATTAATTATAATTAATTAATTATTATTATCGGTCAATTAGTAACGCTTCCTTAAACAAAAATGAATTAACTACGGTTTATACCGACCGAATATTCTCCAAACCCTATTCCGTCTTTGCGTATTGCAGAGTTATCTTCTCTTTAGAGCAGGTATTGATTGTTACGTCATTGGTTTGTGCGAGAAAATTACGTCGTTTTCTCAAAAATTGATGACGTTTCTCTCACAAACAAGTGACGTAACAATCAATACCTGCTCCCAAGAGAAGATAACTCTGCAATACGCAAAGACGGAATACCGACCAAATATTCTCCAAACCCTATATGATCGCCATACTAGCTTAGTAGTGCGGGAAGAACTAGGTCCAATATTTACAAACCCCTTACACTTGACAGTACCGTTATAACTACAACCTTACATTAAATGACAACTCCATTAGGTTTAATGTTACACAATTGACTTTTAAATCAATACCTTCCCTCTATTAGTGTGGTACAATTATACGCTAATACTATAAAAACAACATTTACATGACAAAATGAAACTTAACGTAATTTGATTTGCTATTTAACCTAAATCCTTCTGAAAGATAAAAAATCGATGTTCTTGTTTGGCGTTTTATGTCGTAAACAAATTGTAGACTGAAGTACGTTTCAGGTAATAAATGGCTACCTGATAAACCTTTTCAGACTATTAAAGTCAATAAGCTTTCCTTTTAACGAAATATGTAAATTAATAAAAGGGACGCCTCGGAGTGTGTGTTTAACAACAAAACGTCCTCTTAATCAATAATCAAATATAAATGTTGTCAGTAAGTCCTATACAGCGTGTATAAAGAAAACAGCTGTAAAAAAAGTTATCGTGGAGACCATCTATAAAAAGATATTCGTTAATCATAATTTATATACTGTAAGGTGCATGCTATTTTGTAATTATTTCCCCTTCTGGTCAAAGATAGTTTAGACCCATTTGTATTTCCAACGTCTCGGCCCCTAGCATCACCGATGGGTCCTAGACGGAAGAAACTGCTGTATGATGCAGTGTATTTCATGGTTGGCTCACTGTATCTATTACAAAATTTCACAGGTGCAATCACGTATGTGTATTACGTTCATCATTTAACAGTCTGACCTCGGATGGTGTCTTTCTGTTGTGCGCTCCCATAGTGACAAGCTCCCTAAAAGGTTTATAATCCAGATGACGTAACGTAAATGTACACTACGTTTTACATTATGAGTTTTCTGTGAATAGATTTAAACACACATTAAACCCGTTGCTGGGAACGCAATCATTATCCGAATTTTATTTTTATCTGATAAAATATATCATAACATGAAGGAATCGCGATTTATCAATAACATATTGTTAGCGACTTGGTTGAGGATTTAGTTCTATTAAATTATAAACGTATTATAAATTTCATAATATCGAAAAATAAATAACAGTATTTTGACAGAGACCATGTTTGTTTATCCCCCTAAAATGGTATTGAATAGTCTCACCTTAAGCAGTGTAAGAACAATATGTCTCCTCATAGCCTCCGTGAGGGACGCTGATCCCTTGTACTCCTTCATACCCACCAGTTACGTCGTCAGCCTCGTTCTGGACAGTCAAATATTAAAACTCCACAACGGAGAGGAGGATAACTTTAAAGTCAATTGTAGTACGCACGTGCTTGTCTTTATGATAGATAGAAGTTACACGATATTTTAGAGTTCAAATGCTATCGATTTTTTAAAATTTAAAACCCGAGATGGACGATTGTGGATCGTTAATTAGAGTCAGGTATACATATGTTTTATTGTCAAGACAGGTGTGAAATACCTAAAGTGAGGCGTTTTAAAAACAAATCAATAAATATGAATACTATGCAAAACGGATCTAGCAATATAACGTAACGCCTAGAACCGACAGTTGTTTTTGTTTTAGTATCACCACACTATTCCACCATGACAAATAATGATAAGAAATAAGTTTTATTACAAAAAGAGAAGCCTAGATTTGTATTTACTGTACAGGTAGATAGTGGACATGTGTAGGTTATTTAGGATTCCTGATTCTCCTCGCAGAAGTCATTGTGACAGGAATGAGCCTGGCTTTAGGTATTGACATAACACTACACCAGTCAAATACACACACTCCAAAATAGATTGCACTTCAAACATGATGACGCTGGTAGCAAAAAATAAATCTTCCACTTGCAAATATCACGTAAGTCTTCTACTGTTTGTATACGACTATAAGTGTCAATACAAGCTGATGTCTGCCAATTAAGATTTGCAAATACTCAGTTTTGTATTGACAAGGCGTGGCCTGATAGTCGCTACCGACAGCCTGTAAATGACTGTTCCTAACAGTGAAAATCTAACAATACTTGACTTAGGGTGTCGACAGTATGTGTAGTACTATATCTGGGGTTTATGTAAAATATTTGAAAGGTAGCTTCATTTAATGAACTTGAATAAAGAGAAAGCGCGTCTCAATGTTAAATATTTTAATGCCAACGTTCAAAAATGGCTATTTGAATATCGTTTAACACACCTTCAAGTTTATAACATAAGTTCGAGTTAGAGGACGGATAAAGATTAATGAAAAGCAAACATTGTTCAGCAAACCCAGCAAACCCCGAGCATCAGCAGCAGATTATTGTTTTAAAGTGGTACTTCTAGTTACATCTATTTATAAGTCATATTAGGGAATTTTTTTTCCCCCGTTTGGGATCGAAAAATATTGACCACTTTAGAATATCTAACTCTTGCGAAACATTGAGTCTGAGAAGATAAAATATATCAAGACCTAAGTGCAATATTGACTTGCCGAAAATAAAATCAGAATAAATAGATTGAAAAATTATTAAACTATCAATATAGTTAAACGTTGCCTTTTTAAAGAAAACAATATCGGTATATGACTGATTGCTTAAAATAATGTCTCTTTTATCTTATTTCATTATTGACCACTGTTGGTTTCACACTAGAAGAATTATCAACCTTAAATTTTGGCAAGCAGCGATATGACTATTTCTGCAACTTGCATTAAAAATCAACACATGCAAAGGTTAAATGCAGCATATTAAATCATTAGTTGGGTGTTCATGTTGTAATGATAAGAAACGTCATTTTAGTATAAGGCTTATAACTTTCCGCACAGCGGAACTTGGAACATACCCCATTCAGATCTTCCGCATCGATGGTAATGGGATTCCAGACGGAAGAGCGCCGCCTATCGGACGTCCGTCCATTCTCCACGCCGAGGCTCATCTTGTTGCTATGAGACGGAGGCAGGACTAAGTGAGTCGTCCAAGGGTCGCCTCCTTATGTTACGAGAACTCTGTCATTGCCTCACTTATATTGTTTCTTTTCCAGTCGTCTGAAATGAAAACAGCCAAAATTACCAAAAGAGTACAATTTGACTAATACAGAAAGCAATAAATGTGTGATACAGATAATGGACGATGTTTTATTGGAAGATACCTGTCTCGTCTCATGTAGCAAAACTCGTTACAATGTTTGTGTTTGTAAACAATATGGGCGCGTTATGGTACAATGGACCTTTCAGCTGAGCGTTTTTTTGGAATAAGTAGTTACTCAAATTTAAGTCTAAATGATTTATCTTGATTGAAACCCGTGTCATCAAAACTAGTATACAGGGGGCTATACCAAGGAGAAAGAAGCATACAAATAGTAATAGTCAAAGTGGATATTTGGTCTCCCCCATATTTCATTAAAACAGCATATGGTGATAGCTGTTTTACAGGGAGAAGTAAAAGAGTTAATGCACGAAAAGCAGAGGTCCATGGCTTTGTCAGAGAACTGGTAATACCATCCCTGAGTTTGGAAAGGTCGCAGCCACTACGCGAGCCCCCCAGGAAAACTTGTAAATCAAGGTCTTTTTCTTAACCATGTTGCACACGTAAGGCAGACACTTGCCCATACTTAATCTAGTGCCATAAATGCATAGAAGTATGAAACACTTCAATGCTATTACATTTATCACCAAGAATCTTGTCACACTTACACTGAAAGAGACGGATTCTTTATGGGATTTTCCGTGTTGTATCTTCTTGGAAAAGTACATCTTCATATAAGTTATGCCTTCGGAAAATCGTGCATAGTTTAGTTATTGCAAAAGATGAGAGTTTTTAGGACTGATCTCGCAAATGTAACAACAGTCAGTATATTGGACACTAAGAGCTAAAACCAATGTATTCGTTACACTCAATAGTACTGTTTAATGGCAATTAAAGTTCGTGCAGTGAATCAAAACATTATTACCTGTATTTGTGATATCTAATCAGGAGACGCAAAGTCCACCTATCAGAAGTATAGCACTATGGCAGAACAATGCAGAAGCAAAGGAGTTGCCTATGGCAGCACACAACGAGGCACGACAGAAATAGGAAGTACAGTCTAGCGAAGTTGTAATAACGTGTTATGTTCACCTGGAAATGCAAACTTAAACGGCCCTTCAACAAATTATTAATAACTTTGTTTTCCTTTTCAGGTTCGCATGATTTTATATTAGTACTTACTCTTTCTGAATATTTACCCCCATGGCTCTTTCAGAGATCGATTATCTTTCTCCAGATTGTCTTTTCTATCAGTGTGACTGTATTCTACTGCTGTTAAAAACAACAAATATCGAATAAGAATGTTTCTAAGTTTGTCTGCAAGCATAGACACATGCTATGCAATTTTATGAGGGCTTCAATAAATGCCTGTAATTGGCATTGCACCGTATGAAAATTATACCGAAAACTGCTCTTGCATAAATGACTCTGTTGGATTTTTATACCAACGATCACTCGTAGGATTCCCATGCATGACGTAAGAATGCACTACGAATTAAGAACATTCATGTTAGAATTATCGTAATATCGTTTGCGTAAAAACTAAATTAAAGGGTATTTAGGTGCGCTTTCATTTTAGCTGTATTCTACACGTTTATGATTTAAGATGTCGTTCATCCTTTTGACACTTAGTACCACAGATAAGTTCTGAACTGACGAATGTACAGTATGGTTCAGTAAAATATTTTTCTTGTTTGGTTCTCTGCATTGATGATATAATATTAAGTAGGTTCTTCCTTCCTTTGTTTTTCTCGTATTTGTTTGGCTTCTTCTAGTTGAAGTATAACTCAATGTTGCATGCTACAAGTTATCTCCATATCCGCGGATTGATTTACTATTATTCTTAGTCCCCGGTATTTGCCGTAACCTTAATAACCACAGTTATCTCTTTCGAGGAGTGGCAAGGTTCATAATATACACACTTTATTAATTATTTAATTTAAAATAAACAAGTACTTCTCTGAAAGTTCCGGATCAGGCTGTTTGGAATCGCATTGCGTTATACATCGTGTAGATAAAGAAGTCCGAGGGGAAGTATATAACCGTTAGATTGCCGGACATGTAAAATAAGGACGTGTGTCGTTACTTTGTGACATTTCCGTACTGACATCCTACAGACTACGGTAACGTGGGCTTACCTTTGTCAACCTGTCTTTGATCGTTGGCACTGACATAATTAGTATACGTTATGACTTTGTCGCGTGTCATTCGTTGACCATGACAAAAAACTATGATTTCGAACAGCTTACATATATATCATTAAATATAACGTCACTTTGATTCAAATAAGAAAAGTAAAGTACTGCAAAATGTATCAGAAAAATCAATCAATGTCTCAACAATACCCAAGTCTAGAGTTACCGTCAATATCAAGTGTGCCGACCTCTGTAGTGACCATTTTACGCTTTACACGTTTCCTAAAGAAGGAATTTATTTTATTATTCACGTTCAAGATGGCCACCTTTGATAACGTCAAATTGACAGAAAAATTGTCGACCGTGAAATGGACAAGGTGTATTTTTACAGGTATGTTACGTGTTTTGCTATACGGGTCACTGACTATTTTGACGACGATGACGGAGTACACCACGAGTAAGTTACGCGGACGTAAAACTATTTGGCAAGTTCACAAGTCTTACCGTAATTAGGTACATACATATTTTTTAGTATGTGTTTACTTATTAGTTTTGTTTGCTACTGATTTTCGACAGATTTTGTCCTAAAACATATCCATAAGGAAGTTATTAAAGAAATAACATATTTTTACTACAATGACTTCCCGTCCTGACCCGGAAATTATTATCAGCATACTGCACTGAAATAGGATTTCTTGGTTTATTTCTTTTAAACATATTTATTTGTTTGGTTTTCACATGTTTCCAAAACTAAGCATGTTGACTACTTTACCTTTGTTTTACCCAATACAGAGCACCAAAATTCAATTTTCAATCAAGTATTTCCATTTGCTTCTTTGCCTAGAATACAACACGCACTGTTATACCTCTCATGAGAGAGTAACCCCGGGAATCAATGGACTGCATAACTACTTTTAAGCACCCTTCCTTTCAGAAGTAGTTTTGTCAAACGGTCAAGGGTTTGTTCAACCTTGGATGTAGTTGAGTTTTGTTAAAAACAAAATGGCCCATTTCTGATCGCTTTGATGAATACTATGGGTGAGATTTAGTGAAACTATATGTGTTCGATACTTTTTTGAAAAACAATGCTTTGTCTATTTTTGGTATAAAATCGACGGAGATTTGTTGATATTTTATCTTTATCTGAGTGTTGCTGATAATAAGATTTATTTGAAGTTGTAGATAACCAATTAACTGTTTGATATCGAGTTGAAGTTTAGTTCTGATATAAATATATATATATATACTAATAAATGCTGAAGATTTCCCAGTTCTAATAGGCTAACCTTTATTAATCCGTCATGGCCGTCGACTGACTCTGACATTCATCTACTTATAAATCCTTATGACATGGAGTTCAGATTATAGATTAGTAAGATACACGGCCTTGTTTAACGGAGAACATACAACACATTCCATACAAACACACAAGTCTTTGCATATAAGTGCTATTAAGTTGACGAGATTATGTCTAACGCCCCTAAGTAGTACAAACCAATTACTTCGTTATTAATAACGCACTAGAGATATGAGAAGGAAATATATTATATGGTTTTTTTTACCTTTCGATGTTGATGTTGTTGTACGGAATATAACATGACATATTTTACTGTTGTTCTAGTTGTTGTTATTCGTCAAAATTATTACTGATTTTCCTTATTGTACTGATTCTGCTATTGTTGTTGTTATTATTTTTCTTCAATATTTTAACTGTAATAATTTATTGTTGTTCGCCAGTATTATCACTGGATTTGCTGTTGTTGTTGTTGTTGTTGTTGTTGTTGTTGTTGTTGTTGTTGTTGTTGTTGTTGTTGTTGTTATTCAGTATCATTACTGTTGTAACTATTGTGTTGTTTTGTTATTTGTCCTCATGAAGCCTAAAGCATTGCTGATGAAACCTAGTTTGTTCTGTTGTTGCCAGCATGTCCTCCTCATTTTTATTTTGCAATACATTATTTCATCGTTTTTGCTTTGGACCGTCAGTACTGTTGTTGTTGGTACTTTTGTTTTTGTTATTTTTATTTTACAATGCCTTGCTGTTGTTATACCTGATGGTAGTGTTGTGTTTTGTACATTTGGATTTTGAGTGATATAGTGTTAGGGGGAATTCGGAGGGTGCACTACACTATACACGCAAATCACGACTCTCTGCGCTTTGAGACGTCAAATAAAAGAAACAAAATAACATGCATTACTAAAAGCTTGAACGCTTTTGATATTTGTCTATATTTTGCTTGTTACACATATTTTTACATTTGTTTATATTTTGTCTATTAAACATTTAACATTTGTCAAAACACATTTAGCATTTGTCACATATTTGGCCGTTTCCTTTTCTATAACACTTCTGGCATTTGTCCATAACACATTTGTGTATATTTTGTCCATAACACATTTTACATTTGTCTTTTGTCTGTCTTCAACACATTAGACATTCGCCCTATGTTTGTCTGTTATACATTTGACATTCGTCCTTTGTTTGTTTATTAAACATTTGACATTCGTCCTTTGTTTGTCTATTATATATTTGACATTCGTCCTTTGTTTTTTAATTATACATTTGACATTCGTTCTTTGTTTGTCGATTATACATTTGACATTCGTCCTTTGTTTTTTAATTATACATTTGACATTCGTTCTTTGTATGTCTATTATACATTTGACATTCGTTCTTTGTTTGTCTATTATACATTTGACATTCGTTCTTTGTTTGTCGATTATACATTTGACATTCGTCCTTTGTTTTTTAATTATACATTTGACATTCGTTCTTTGTTTGTCTATTATACATTTGACATTCGTTCTTTGTTTGTCAATTATACATTGGACATTCGTCCTTTATTTGTCAATTATACATTTGAAATTCGTCCTTTGTTTGTTTGTAAAACATTTGACATTTGTCCTTTATTGTTTATTAAACATTTGACATTCGTCCTTTGTTTGTCTATTATATATTTGACATTTGTCCTTTGTTTATTTTACATTTGACAGTCGTCCTTTATTGTTTATTATACATTTGACATTCGTCCTCTTTTTGTCTATTATACATTTGACATTCGTCCTTTGTTTGTCTATGATACATTTGACATTCGTCCTTTGTTTGTCTATTATACATTTGACATTCGTCCTTTGTTTGTCTATTATACATTTGACATTCGACCTTTGTTTGTCTATTATACATTTGACATTCGTCCTTTGTTTGTCTATGAAACATTTGACATTCGTCCAATGTTTTTTATTATACATTTGACATTCGGCCTATGTTTGTCTAATACACATTTGAAATTCATGCTTTGTCTATTATACATTGACATTTGTCCTTTGTTTGTCTATTAAACATTTGACATTCGTCCTTTGTCTATTATACAATTGACATTCGTCTAATGTTTTTTATTATACATTTGACATTCGGCCTATGTTTGTCTATTATACATTTGAAATTCATACTTTGTCTATTATACATTGACATTTGTCCTTTGTTTGTCTATTATACATTGACATTTGTCCTTTGTTTGTCTATAATATATTTGACATTTGTCCTTTGTTTGTCTATTATACATTTGACATTCGTCCAATGTTTTTATTATACATTTGACATTCGGCCTATGCTTGTCTATTATACATTTGAAATTCTTACTTTGTATATTATACATTGACATTTGTTCTTTGTTTGTCTATTATATATTTGACATTTGTCCTTTGTTTGTCTATAATGCATTTGATATTTGTCCTTTATTTGTGTATTATACATTGACATTTGTCCTTTGTTTGTCTATTATACATTTGACATTTGTCCTTTGTCTGTCTATTATACATTTGACATTTGTCCGGTATTTGTCTATTATACATTTCTCAGGCATCTATTATTTGCCTTTAACACCTTTGACTTCTTGTCCTTAGGAATCCGGCAACTCCTGGCAGATCCAATGCAACACACCATGTTTAAGTACATCCCAAAGTCCATTGTTATATTTGGCAGAAAAACTAATTGTACTTTTTGCTGAAATAATTTAATGTTGGATTATTATGTAATTTAATTGAATACACATTTGTATTTTGATATTTTGTTACGGACTTGACGTCTGGGTCCTTTAACCCACCTGTCACCCCGGCGACTACAAGTACATTGAACGCATGTCCCATATCAATTTGATTAATTCTTGCAATCATTAAAAAACATTAAATCAATACCTAACCTGATATAATACATTTTAAACAATATAACCTGAACAACATAGCCGTGATTGCTACATATTTTGTAATGGAAATCACTGTGGGTTTGTGATGTGTATAAGTTTGTAAATCGCTGTGGTTTTGTAGTGTGAATAATTTGCTATTGTGTATCAAATTGAACAATGGTTGGTTTCAATTTACATATCCCGTAAAATTTCCTCCTACAATAACACATGCGGAGCAAAACAGCGTACCCCCACACGCTGACTGAGACGGCCTTCTGTAATCAACACCGTCCTGTGGCCCCTTTTCTATATTTAGTAGGTTTGTATTAATGGCGTGGGACGAAAATGTCTCGAATTGAGTTAAATATGTGTCATATTTTCCAATATCTACGATACTGGGTTTTAAATGAAATAAATGCAGCTGTATACATTTAACTCTGATATCGTCTACGCGAAAACAAGACAAACCTTGACCGGCAGCGTATGACTTGATTCGGAAATAGCAAATACCTTTTTTGTTCAATCAGTTAAGGCCATATTTGATTTCAATTTCACTCATTTCCATTTTACATATTTTCTATTTTTTTGCCAAAATGTGTTAATAATTTTGTTAATTTTGGATAAATAATTCGTGCGAATACCAATAAGGATGTCGGAAAAATGACTGAAAGTTATCTTCAAGTACTTTTAGCATCAAAAATATAAAACTAGTGAAAATGACCTACAGCAAACGCCAATGTCTTCAGGTATTACAGGAAGATGTCGGATAGTGCCAAGGAAAACAAATGAACCAGATTAAATTGTAGAAAAATAGTTCAGGCCTATTTTAGTCGCTGCAAACTTCCCTAATCGGAGACAGCAGTACCTACATCAACCTAGACTGATATGAGCATAAAGGATGCAATTATCATGAAAGAAATTTGGAGCCTCTAGTAGTGACGGAATAATAACACTGAATTCTAGGCGTTTCTTCACGAGCACACACACACACACACAACGCACGTGCAAATGATAGATGTTCCCATCAGTAATAACATATTAAAAAGATAATCAAAGCACTTAATACAATTGTGTGATATTCTTCTTTGAAAATTCTCATACACAGAACTTTATCCTTTTTCAAAGCAGTGTGCTCAGCTGATGGCAAAAATAAAAATACTCTTACCTAAAACAAAGATCAAAGGTATTTCACGTGCTCACTGGTGAGGTGTCCACACTAGCTGTACATGTATCTCCTAGTGTTATTAGACCGCTCGTTAATGATCTAATAGGTATCGATCCCCCAGTTAATTGTCGCTGTGATTGACACCTTTAATGGACGGCGTTATATATCGGTCTGAAGTTTGAGGGATACCACGTGGATAGCGCTTGTCTCTGGCATTGTAGTATGGTTAGACTTAATTCCCATTGTTGATCGTGGCATGTCGTTAAAAGTTCAAACAGATTTCAATCAAATCGGAATATATATTTAACTTGATTGGAGCACGGGATTAAGCATTGTCAGCTTTAAACAATATTAAATATCTCACCGTATTAATTGTCCCATTGAAATGTAACAAGATGCATTTACCACATTTTGGTACCAAAGACCAACCGACATGATTAATTTAATTTCTCTACGTGTACGATCTTAGATATGAATGACTAAGGTATGCTAAAGACGATACAAAATAACACTTGTTTACGGTGACATTTAAAGTCTTAAAGAGATACACAGATATAACTCAGACTATATAGTATGTATTGTGTGCGTCATTGTATGATACATGTGATAGTAATTTAATTACAGATATCAGTTCTTGTTTACGTCACAGAGAACTGGCCGTTCATACAAACTTGCCACAAACCTGTCAATCAATATAACAGGTCAGAGATAAACATATCTCTATAATTTGATATAGATAGATACTTACATGTACCACTCTGTATCATACTAATACCAGTTATTTGATTTTAACAGACAATGGTTGTTGATGATATTTCCCACTTCGGTTTGTGAAAAACAAGATAAGAACGGATGTATTTATATATTGTAAATCTATTTCTGAATATATGTCAAATTTAACGACACTGCAATATATCTTGCAATTCTTGAACTGAGATAACCACACCTTCACAATTGATATATGAAATGCAAGGATAATCTTTAGCCTGCAAAACGTAGTAAAAAAGGTTGCCATTAATACCTCCCCTATATTATTGGCGGGACGACATTTGTTGCTTTTGAGCTGATTGTCTGACTGTCTGTTGCGCTTTTTATTTCTGGACAATAGCTTTACTTGGTGACCATGCCTACGTATTAGAAACGCGGGTGAACAATTAATGTTTGTGATTGCTTTTGAGGTCATATCAGATATAAAACATTGGTCAAAGGTTACGATATCTGTTACTGAAAAGATGATTTTGGTTTTACATGAATCGATGGTCGATGGTCGGTCATTCTTCGAGTGGAAAATAGAAATATATTATGAGGCTCAATATGCTAAGTAACGAGTTCACTACTCATGGCTCTTGGATATATCAGAAAAAACGTTAAGGCTGCTCATCTGTTGGACCATCTGAGGCGATTCATGTATAGTTCTAACGAGCTCGAGGCCAGTTATGTGAAGGCTCTACAAAACAATAATTGTTTTGGGCACTAGGAGGCGACTAAAGTGTGGCCACTTCAAGATGACTAAATTGTGGGCCATACGAGGCAACTAATGTGTGACCAGACGAGAGGACTTATATGTTGGTCGCACAAGGCAGCCATTGTTGGACCATACGAGACGACTAATGTATGGTTTCTACGAGGCGACGGTTGCATGGGCCAGACGACCAATGTGTTGGCTTCTAAAGAGACATATATTGGCTCTACGATGCGACTCATGTGTTGGCCCCACAAGGCGACTAATATATGGGTCCTATGAGGCAACCAATGTGTGGGCCCGACGAGGAAGCAAATGTGTGGACCCTACCAATAGGCGAGTACAACGAGGCGACAAATGTGTGGACAATATGAGGCGCCCAGTAAGTGCGCACTTCGAGGCGACTAATTGGACTCTGCGTGACTACTAATGTGTGGCCCTTATGACTGGACACGTACATACCTGATCCATTTATCATTAATGCCCTCTAGATTAAGGGCACTGTTGATACCATATTTGATCTGGTCCACATTTGCATATATATTTGTTGTCTCAAAGCGCGTAAAAAGAGAGGCATTAAAGACAGTTATTTGTAGAGAAGTGACAAAATGCACACACTGAAATTGATGGTACCTTATCCTGTCGTCACTTCCGACAACAAATATATTGGCGCGACATCGTAACACCCTACCCGTGTTACAACCTACCTCGTATTAAACCTCACACGGCTTCCCCTTTTCCATATAATGTGACTGCTAAACCGCACGCAAATTCGCGTAATGGAAAATCTGGATATAAACTAATGACCCGTTTCGTAACTAACGGGAAAACGACAGTGACATCTGGTCAACCTTATTGGCCGGTCTCACCCTCTAGTGATCCAGAACCTTGTTGTAACAAAGTACAGTCGCACGGGTCCTTATGGTGTTAGGACTTAAGATTTAAGGCCTTTGTGTATTATGTGACCAAACAATAGTGATAATGTGCTTATGAAAGGATATTTAAATTTTGGAAAGTATTTCATTGCTGTTCGACACGATAAAAGCTTTAAATGGCTGAAATACAATTAGATAGGATCTTAGGTACCTAGCTACACGGTGAAGACTAAAACGTGTGTGGCCGAAAATACGTGAGCTTGATCAAATTAATCACATGAAACGTCATCTGTTTTATGTTATTTTACTTTCATGTAAGGCATTTCCTTAGCTCATAAAACACACGGATGTCAGAGAGGTATTCATAAACGTGACGTTTATTGATCCAGGCTTTTGTTGGGACTTCATCAGAACGGAAGTTGGATTGTGTATATTCATACCGGTTGTTATGGATATTAAAACGCTTGACATATATAGATTGGCAGTTTCATTCAAACACTTTCAAGATACAGAGGTGAGTTTATTGTGAACATTGAGTCGAATACAGAATGAAACGATGATATTTTTATTACATTTATATAAATATTATTGCACATGACTCGCCGTACATTCGTAGAATTGTGTTGTATTCTGAGCTCAGGTGAAAGTTGCGGAGGACTAACGTGTATTGGTTTAGCTGATATAGAATTATTGACATCCCGGACCGTTAGCTGTGTTATGAATATTTATGAAACATCACCAGCAATAGAAAAGGATAACTATCCAATGAACCGCGAGTCCAATGTAGGTTGTATTGTGCTTGACCCTGGTCAACATCGTCAACGATTAGGGATGGTTCCGTATTGACATTAAAAATATCCCTGTGTGAATCAGTGAAGGCCGCAAGTCAACATAGAGACACATTTGGACAGAAGCATCTGTATACATGGTGAGTAAACATTATCATCGTTCCGTGTATTGGTTCTCCACGAACAGGAAACAGCTATTAAAACAGTCTGAAGGTAAATTCGATATCGTTAAAATCTAAACTTTGAAACTCTATATAGACAAAATCGATTGGATCAAAACAGAAAGAGACGGAAGTTCGTTTTGATAAACACCTGACAAAAGAAGAGAAAAGGGTCGACAAACAACGCAAGAGCACTGCACAGAACCTCCGGTGCGTCTCAATTTAGATTTGTTGTCTCCCTTGATCGATTCCTGCCATTATGAAGGACACCGAAACACGCGCTCGGTCGGCCCCTGTTAAATCCATAGGAAAATTAGCAAAGGAGGCACATGGTTATGAAACTATGGAAAAGTTTCAAAGACATGACCGACTTATCTTTCCGGGAGAAAAGAGGAGGGAGTCGACTGCTTCAGTTTTAGTGGAGTTAACTACTCCGAAACAAACGCGCCCAAAAAGTGCGAGCAGGCGACAATTCTCGAATGAGGATCTTGAAGACTATCTCGACGTGCAGAAAAAAGTAACCAGAGATGAAATGGACGACATTGTGTCACGACTAAGTCGGCCTACATATATCAGCAGTGTTCGCGTGACGTCTGCAAACGTGCGGAGAGTATGCATTGAAGAACAAAATGTAAAGAAAAAAGTTACAATCCAACCCGCGGCCAGTCGGCGGCAATTGGATCCCAACCGATTTCAGGGATCCAGGAAAGTGAGCCGACAGAGAATGGACGACATGGTTAGCAGACTAAGTCAGACAAGCAAGCGACATGCACAACCGTCCATCCAAGAACGTCAAGAGGTAAACCGGAAAGCGGGATCACTGTGTAGTTACAGGTGGATGGGTATCCAGAATTGCTGATTTAAACAGGATGGATATACTGGTGCTCTCATATAACAGGATTCTGATCATTTATTCGTAATACCTGTAATGCCGTATGTATGGGCTCTAGCAATGAAACTAGACATAAATGTCGTGCTCGATTTAGGGTACGGTGCCATGGTGTAAAAGTGTTCGTATCGAATGTCGAATGTACACATGATTAATTACTGTGTTTTATGTTTATTTTATTGAGAGCAATGAAGAAGACTTCTGACTTACAGAAGGACGGAGAATGCTGACCACCAGTGTTGTATTTGACTCGGCTTGGTGACCGCTAGCTACAGCGGTATTATGTACTATTAGGTTCAGAAAGAAGGAAATCGATAAGGATTTCTGATGTGTGAAGAAAACGTTTTTTTTTCTCTCACAAATCAGCAACTGCCATCATGAAGCTGGTGACTAAAAATATTTCAGATTTGAAGCTAGTGTATCTAAATTTAAAATAAAAAAAATATCATGTGATAATTTATTAGAATTAGGACTTCAATGAGTTTGACCTCATATGAAATGATGTTGGCGAGGTTCTGTCGAGCTTTAAATACTGGATACATTTCGTAAATTCTTGCAGAAATGGAAACAATTTTAAGCTCTTATTTGTCATATTTTGCCATAAAGTTTTACATGTGAATATTTATTGTGAAAACATTTTTTCTCAGACTATAGTAAAGTCGTCAAAGTCGCAATTTAGGCTTCATAATTCTGACGTCACAAAGTTTTGACGTCATACATATTGTCTTTATCCTGACGTCAAAATGGGTGTAGGTAATATGCAAAACATATCAGCTTCATATATTCTCTGCATAACTATAATCATGTTACAGAATTTATTCGAAATTCGAGGTAATTTCATTTGCAAATGTCCATGTTCACTCACTTCACCAGCAAGCATTCTGCAATATTTCGACATTATTTCATCTCAGAAAAGACAATTAATGTTATACAATTATGGACGTTTTACCTGGTGAATATGCCGAGATATTAATTGGCCATAGTCAATAACAATAGTATACATTGATCAGTATCACAGCATATTCACCAGGTATAATGTCAGTAGTTGTGTTCTTATATAAAAGGAAAATTTATTTAGAAAATATCATATTTTTTATTATTTGGTAATCACCGGATATCAGCAAAATCTGGTGATTATGGCATTTTATTTTATGCTCTGATACTAAGGCCTCTTAACCAATCAGAAGCATCTCATTTATAAGTCATATTATAATAATCCACCTTTAGTCATTTTTGACCGAGGCAGTGTCTTACCCCACGAAATATTATTTAGAAACTGAGCACGAGTCTCTAGGTTTACGGGTACC